GGGGGGGGGGAGAGAGAATGGATTAGGGTTAAGAGAAGGAGGAGAGCTTGTCTTAAAAGGAGTTTGGTTGGAGCCAGCCAGGTAAAGAGAGGTTTGGCTCTTTGTGCTAAAAAAGAAACAAAGAGATGCATTTATGGGAATACGTGTGAGAATTCAATCACACGTATTACTTACACTCCATAACAGTGTTGTTATTAACATTGTGGAATTCACATTCATTGATTGAATATTCAAAACTGATATTTTACATTTATAATTAAACGTGTTTTGAGCCATAACAGTCGAGATTTAACATGTAATTTTATTTTGGACATCTTAAGCATTTTCTAGAGAAGATATTATTACAACCCTTTCAGATTTCTTCCCACGTTGTCCTTGCTTTGCTTCTTTCCCCACCAGGAACGAGACATAACCGGACGACAATAGCATTTGTTCCTTTTTGGCATCTTAACTTAAAACACATTTTGGTGTGAACCCAAACTTGCACTTTCAATTTTATTCTTCCTGTTTCATTGCAAGAACCTGAAGCTGAAGTAGTTTCCTTGTTAGTTCCCCCCCTTTCTGCACAGATCATATAACAAGCAAAAGATTCGATCTTTCAAACTATTTACCGAGGTTTGATATCGTGTCTCAAGCGTTAAGCTCATGGGTTAGTCGGCTTTCACCGAAGAAAACCGTCTCCTTGTTCGGTTTTGAAAGAACGGTTTGTGATCCGCATCATCCTCTCGCCACTCCTACAAGGGATCAGAACAAACTGGCGCGCAAACTACCAGATCGTTCAGACAGATGTGATATGTTGAGAGTTGTTACATTGCCAAGAGTCGGGTCCGCGGATTCTTGAAACGTTTTTTTACCTTTTGCAGTGCCAAGAGCCAGAAGAGCAGAGTGACGTTACAGCTGCGCTAAAGCCATATTCCAAACTGGAATCTTGAATGCCTCTATATATATTTCCAATGATGATGATATCAAGATGATTGCAGATGAAAACCCACCATTTTGATAAAGTCTTTAGCACCAAAGCCTTTGTCCACAAACCCAGAATTTTAATTCTTGGATCATGGACTGACGTCTTCTTGGATGTTACTGAATATTTATACGTCCATTAATGTAGTTGGTTATCCGTCACTTTCATTTTTCATTCACCCGCTCGGGAATATATTTTCAGCTTTGATAAAATTCATCATAAGAACCGATACAGACTGTTTAACTTCGATATATTCTGAGAACCGTAACAAAACACGATATGGTCTGTGAACTTATCGGCCGTCTCTAATTGATAAGATCCTCTCTAAGTGGAATCAATCAAACCAGCAATATCATATAGTATCATTTTTTAGTTATCAAGAATATGCTGGTTATAGAATCTTGAATTTGGTACGACGTGAGATTCGAGATTTTCTACATGGATAGGGTTTGATATCCAAATCTAACTTTTTCTTTCGTACAATATTTTTTACCACACAACACAAAAATGGAATTACCTTGTTTCACACAACCTTGAAATTTCGAGATCTGATGCCTTATCACATCGGCAACGGGGAAAAGAAATGAAACACACGGAAAAATATATATAACCCCCAAGAACAGGCCATGAAAACAAGTAGATCCGATCGAACACAACCCATTATATGACAAAACAAAGATTAACCATAGAAATTACAGCTTGCGTGTAAATAATTATTTAAACATCATATAACCAATCAAAAGCTGAACCAAGAGAGATTTAATAGAATTTACTCAGCCTTCTCCTCTTTCTTGTCTGGTTTGGTCTCCTTCTTCTCCTCCTTCTTGTCTGGTTTGGTCTCCTCTTTCTTGTCTGGTTTCGCTTCTGCAGCCTTTGGCGGTTTTGGTTTCCCTTGTTTTGGCTTCATGAAACAGAAGCATGAGCAACATGGACACTGAAACAGAAACTTCATTCTCCCTCTCTCTCTCTCTTCTTCTTCTCCTTCTCCCTCTCGGACAAATAATAGAAAGGGGTGACACTGCTTTTTTGTCACTTTTTCTAACTTATTTTGTCTTTTTCTCCTCGTATAATAATGGTGGTCTAGCTTTCTTGGTCCCTCTCCCAATGTTATTTTACTATTATCATTCACCAACCTACCATAATTTACATGGTAGGAGTTATTAGTATCATTCACAAGCGGCTTGTATGATTAAAACTAATGATAACGTATTACAAGAGGGTTAATTAATTATCACTAATTGGGTAGAGCTAAAAATGTAAGATGAGGAACATTATAGTTGTTACTCGATATAACATCTGCGTATGAGCAGGGATTTAATCGTATGGAAAAGATGAAATGAATATAAAGTATTATATAATAGGGTTTACAAATTATGTGAATGCATGAAATTATCTATAAGGTTGTGATTCGTTGGATTCCACTTCCGTCGCTATCAAAGCCCAAGTGGAGGGTGGCCGCCCTAGTGTTGAAGATTTTGGACCCTTGTCGGTCGATCGAGTTGCCTTGGATTTTTTTTGCATGAAAGAAAAAAAAAACCATCACTCTTCATAGTCTTGCACAAGTCTTTATTATTATTTTTTTTGTAAAATTTATTAATTAAGATGCAAACCCGACCAATTCGGATTCTCTCATCCACGAAGAAGAACTAAAATTAAACATTTATATTTATCTGTTGAAACTTTTGAACGAATATTACCGAACCACCCAACATCGGCCGACTGTATATAGAGTTTAAAACATAATATTTAGAAATATAATGTATATTCATAATTTAATGTTGCTTTCGAAGTCGTTTAAAATTGATATTCGTCAAACTCATGTTTCACCTTCCCTTCGAATATATGAATATTTCTACCACTTTTCTTTGGAGCAACAAATTAATTGTTTAAATCTTAGGATTAAAAATACCTATAGTCTAATGTTCGTAGAGATTGTTGTCGTTTAGTCCGTGACGTTGTTGGATTGCGTGGGGCCCAGCTCGATTATCGAAGTTTAAGATAATGATGGGCTGGGCCATGTTCTTGACCCATAAGTTATCTTACGGGCTTTATTTACAATATGTACGGCCCATTTTAACTTTCTTTTTTCCTCGTCTTTCACTGTTGGGCTTAGAAAGTTTTTTTTAATAAAAAAAACGTGTATTTTGTGGCGAGGTTTACACTAATTCCGAGATTGGAAGTAAATTGGGTGATGGGGATTACATTCTTCTCCCTAAATTAGATTCGAACTCGGAACGAGTTACATTAGATAGGTTTACTTGTCGTTTAATGTATAAACTAATATATAGTTTAATTTGAATTTTTTTTTTCTACAAAGTACTAATCATGTGAGCCCAATAAATACCAAAAATAAAAAGAGTTAAAAGGAACTCACCTTCTTTCACCCCCCAAAAGCTTACATAGAAGTTTAAACGAAAAGCCATGAAGACAGACGATAATTTTTGTCCTAATATTCCAATTGTTACATATTGAAATTTGCGTTGATATTTTTTGGTATTTCTTGTTTTATGCTTTCCGGTATTATTTTTTTTTATATCGGATACCTGAATCGAAAAATAAAACTAATTTTGGAGGCGAAAATAAATATTGTGATTGGAATACACTTCATTTTCTAACTTAGGATTCGAACTCGGATGAGATATACATTTTGTATCTCTATTTTACCGGTCAAATTATCTAAATTAGATTGTTTTCTAATATTTAAGATCTAGTAGATGTTTATGTTTAAGTATTGGAATAAAAACATGTATTTTAATATATTACTAGGTGAGGACCCGCGCGATGCGCGGGTTATTTTTTTAAATCGTAAAATTTATTAAGGATTCGAACTCGGATGAGATATACATTTTGTATCTCTATTTTACCGGTCAAATTATCTAAATTAGATTGTTTTCTAATATTTAAGATCTAGTAGATGTTTATGTTTAAGTATTGGAATAAAAACATGTATTTTAATATATTACTAGGTGAGGACCCGCGCGATGCGCGGGTTATTTTTTTAAATCGTAAAATTTATTAACATTAATATGATAAAAAAATTATATAAATTATTTGTGTGGTGTATAAAAATATATTAATAAAACTTAACTATTGTAAATCATCAATATATTATCTATATAAAGAATACAAAAAGTAAATTTGTAAAAATAAATGAGTGTCATTGTCTATATAAAAAGTAAATGATTCATAATGTGAATAAATGTTTTGAATTTATTAGTGATAGAATAATTTTTGAAATAAAAACTTCTCATCTTGATGTGTACTAAATTTTATAATAATTTATGATATTTTTCTATAAAATGTGGTTAAATTTGATATCTTTTTACTTACAAAATTAAAGAATTAATTTTAAGTTTATTAAAAATAAAATTATTACTTATTTTGTCGTTTTAAAAAGTTGATATGGTAAAAATATTAGACAATAATGATAATTTTTTCTTTAAAAAATAATAATAATTTAGAATAGTAAATTATACCATAAAATTTGAATTACTATATTTATATTAAAAATCAATAATTTTAAATTTCTTAAAATTCTTAGTAATTATATATATATATAATCTTAAACAATTAGATTTGTGGTGATTTTTTTAATATTTTAGATTAATAAAAACTATAATTAAAAAAATCAATTTTTTATTGAGACAAAATATTATACGATAAAAATATAATGATTTCTAATAAAATAAATGATTATAAATTATCAATACGTTGTTTCAATAAAATTAGTAATCTTTTAGATATATATATATATATATATATATATATATATAATAATCTCTCAATTATTAAAAAATCATGGACAAAGGAATATTTTCTATGGAATGAATTTTCTTCTCTTATAATTCGTCTATTTAGCTAATGTTAATATGTATTAAAATTGAAAACTATATTTGATACATACATATACATGTGATTAGAATAATATAATTCTAAAAATATTATTGTTTTTTACAATTTATAACAATTTAATAAAATATTATAAAATTGTATCATTTTACTCAACATAAATTATAGAATTTATTTTTAACTTTATTATAAATAAAATTATTATTATTTTTTCTTTTAGAAAAGTTAAGATAATATTAATATGGTGATATTATTAGACAATATTATCATTATTTTCTACAGAAATAACAATCATTTAGATTTTGTTTTTATATAATAGATTCATAAAAATATTGTTTAAAAAATAGATTTTTATACGACAAAATATTATACTATCAAAATAAAGTAAATAATTAAATATTAATACATTCATATTGTTTCACTAAAATTATTAATCCATTTTGTATATCTTTTATGTATTGTCTAAAATGGTAGATCTACATTTTATCAAATCATATGGTGCTATATTTACATATTAAATAAAGGATATGGTTTTCACGTATCTTTTTTTAAAAACAAAATTATAAAATTATTTGGATTTAATAGAAATGATATATATATATATATTCTTTACCTGCTTTGTATGAACACGATGACAATTTTCTCTTGACCAAAATAGAGCTTTTAGAATCCGAGTTTATGATACCAACAACGATGGAAAGTGTTTCTGATAACTTTTAGAAATTAGAAATTCTCATTTCATTTTCACTCAAACACATACAATATATATATATATATATATGCATACATCTACTCACATGAGTAAGATTATATATAATAACATTAACACACAGTCTGCAATAATTTCTATAGCCTTAAACACACGCTGTTATAGAGAGTCAAGTTAGAAACAGACAACAACAATTATAAAAACAAACCGTAAATGTTTATCTAATAAAACTGTAACATAAAACTGCAATGCCACAATAACAAAATGCTTTTGCTTCAATTCTCCATATTTCATCATGTTTTTTAGTCAAATCTCTAACACTCCTCCTTGACTCGAGAACTCATACACATTGCAAACTTTAGCTTTCAAGCTTCGACACAAAATTTCTATCTTCACGATAATCCATTTTCTCGAGTGCAACTTTGTCCCATCTCGAGTATCCACTGTGTTTATCGAGTACATCTTTGCCCTTTCTCGAGTACGCAATTTTCGGGTTTACTAATTGAGGCATAAACCCACACCAAACTCACAACAATCTTTTTTCGCTTTCTTTTATTGAAACTTCAACACTGACTTCATATTCGGAGTATGACAAACTCCTTCTCAATTAAAGTTTTGCTCGATCAGGAATCCCGAATTCTCTTCTCAAGGGAACCCGACAGGCGACAGCAACTGTAACGTTTACTTCGTCTTCAAACTTGATAGTCTTTCCCTATATCATCCAACCAGAAAACTTAGAGATATCTTAGTCACACGATCCCTCTCTTCAATTTGTGTTCCACAACAAATTGAACTGTCGACTTCATCGATTTGTGTTCCACAACAAATTGTGCAAACTTTTTCTTTTTCATCGCTTTCTGTGTTTATGTTTGTTCCCTTTTTTGTTCCACGCGCTTTCATGATCGCGCGTCGACCCCGTCCATGTAAGCATGCTGGTTAGCGCCACGAGCTCAGTTTTTATAATCTGCTCTCCGTGTTTATGTCTTCTATTCTTCCGATGTGGGACTGTTTTTTGAGAGATTTGGGCCGTGGACCCATATTAGCGGAAGCCCAGTATGGATTTGGGAATATATTTGCATTCTAATTTTTTTTTATAGAAAAGTTCAAATAATTGCGTTAAATTATAGAGAATTGTTCAACCAACGATCGTATGAGTATGGAAATATTACTGATTAAAAATAAACATACATGCATATATATATATACATACATATATACATATTTAGTTTTTTTCCATTAGTTTTCTAAATTAATATTGATTTTGAATATTTTAACATAATATTTTATTTGTATCAAAATAATTTATTTTGATTTAATATTTTTTTTGGTTTTACAATCAATTATTTTCATTGATCTAGTAATTATTTTTTTGGTTTAACATAATATATGTTTATAATATTTGTATATACACTTATACAAATACAAACACACACACATATACATATACATATAAAAATGAAAAGTAAAAATTAAATAAAAATATATATACATATATACTTACATATATATATATATATATATAAACATCCATTTAAACATGTTTACATATACACATATAAATACATTCATATAAAGACATATATATATATATATTCATAAATATAAATATATACATAATTCATTTATACATACTTAAAACATATATACCCACACAAAATACATCGTTATATATATACATGCATATGCATATATACATACATATCTATATTGTTTTCTTTTCACTTAGTTTTTTAAATACACGTATATCCATATAAACATGTATATATATACACATATATATACATATACATACAAATACATATGAATATATACACACACATACATCTATATATACATATATATTTACATGTATATGTACACATATATACATATATATACATCCAAATACATTCATACACATATATATATATATATAAATGCATATACACATATATACACAGAAATACATCTATACATACATATATACATGCATATACATAAATTAAAATTTAAAATAAAATATTAAAAATATATATATAAAAAATAAATGAGAATATAAAATCCAAACTATTTGTTTTTAATTAGTAATATTTCTATTCATATAAATTCATATAAACATGTATACATACAACATATACATAGACATACATGTATACACAAACACATATGAATTAATGAGTATATGTATATACATACATATATACACACACAAATACATCTATACATATGTATTTACATATAATCATGTATATATATACATACATATATATACATAAATTTAAAATTTAAAATAAAATATTAAAAATACATGCATACATACATACACAAATATATACACGTATGCATGCAAATAAAAAGTAAAAATAGAAATATATAAATATATATACATACATACATATATATATATATATACATACAAATATTATACATAAATAATATTCTAACAATCTGTCACCTTGTTTACGCCTGTAGTTTTTTCCTATGCTACAATGAATTCAAGCGACCAAAATCAACAAATGTAACATATAAAATACCCAGAATCAAATTCTTAAAAAAAAGATCGTTCGACACCTTGTCCATCGCCATGCTCACGGAAGTCGAAGACGATGACATCTCTATTCCAAACTCCAACAAATCACGAAGATAAGCTTAATTAGGGTTCCGACTGGGAATTCCAAGAACCAGAGCAAACCCCAGAAATTCCAGAAACTTTTTCCTTTACCCTACGAATACAGTTAGAAAGATAATTAGTTGGAATCAATTCCAAACTCAAAAAAAAAAAACAGAAAAGGAACCTTTTTATTTCCATCGCTGTCCTTTTTTCTTTCATCAATCATCATAATCTCAGTTCACAGGGTGGCTCGGAAGCATTTATTTTTCTTGGAATTTTTTGTGATATTTTTTACATCTCTTTTGGTATGTTATAAAGAGATTGTGAAAAGGTGGTATTTAAGGGGAGTAATAATTACGTGTTCATGAATGATATTAGTTGGCATGACGGTTACTTAAGTGGAAAGGTCTCTATTTAGAAGAAATAGTTGACACGATGGAAGAGAATGGGGCGGATCAAAATTAATTAACCAACACCCACTATCATGTACGTTTTCTTCCCATTTTCTTTTTTCTTTTTTATCCTTTCTACTTTTATTATTATTTATTGACCAACATCCACTAATCATAATAAAACTAATTTTAGTTATAAAATCAAATTAATTATCTTAAATTTTAAATTACGTTATAAACCACATAACCATTAAACCGAGAAAATAGACCGTTTTTATTTATTATAATATACGATATAAATATATTTTGTTGAATAAAAATCTGATTAACGTGATGAACTTATAAAGAAATATGAATTTTTTATTTTTTATTATAAGACATTATTATTATAATGTGCATGTAAATAAGAATCTAGAATATTTATTTGATAAAGGGAAAATATATTTTTTTATTACTTTCTATTACAATGTAAAATTACTGTAACATAAATTTAAATTATTTAGGGAATGGACAAATAATATGTGTAGATATTAATGAACCAATGAGAATTGAGAAAAACGCCACATGAGATGCTTAGGTGGCTTCACCAAATCTCTTTAAACTCCTTTATTAATATATATAGATTTGAGGTATTATAAATGTTAATGGACACATTTACTAGACAATGCTAATCAAACTATTAGGTGTGTTTGTTTATATACCAAACCATAAATTCGCATGGAAACTGTGTAGTTCAACTTGTAAAACGAAGATGCCAAAAGTATATCTCATTTCGAATTTGAATTTCAAATTGAGAAAAAAAAAACGTATATTCTAGCCATGTACTTTGTTTTTGGCTTCGAGATTAATATGGAATTCGATTCAGGACATTCCGTTATAAAAAAGCCCTTTAATAAATCGAGAATCTTAATTTTTTCACGAAAATAATAGATTAAATTTAAATTGAGACATTTATAATTAACTAATTGTGATTAACAGAGTGATTATACACTAATACGAAGACGAAACAGAGGGATTAAACAAAGGGCTTTGGTCGGAGCGACGGATTCGATGATAAGACGATCACGTGAAATACGGGTGTGAGTAGTTGACCAAACTTAAAAGGTCCTAATTTCGATGGAGGAAAATAATAAAAATTAAATTATCAAAATTAATTGATTTTTGGGTGACGTGGAGGCTGGTGGCCCCATATCACGCCATCTGCCCCGTGACGTTCCCGAACCTCACCTCACGCGCCGCCTCAACCTTATTTGGCGTCACCATTTATTTATTTATTTCATTAAATATGGCATTAACTGTAATTAAATTTCTCGATATATCATGAAAATCATATTTTTTTTTATATCCGTTATATTTTTTTTACAGTAATATTAGCGACCCCATTGCTTTGAATTAGAGAAGTTAATTACTATTCCGTACGAGGACAGAAGTAGGTATCATTTATTTAATTTATTTATTTATTATATGTGTTTTGTATTTGATGTGGATCTTTTGGGGTAAAGGACAGAAGTTGTTATTGTTTAGACAAAAACATAAAGAGTTTTGACCACAATACAATTTTTTGTGGGTTAAATATTATATTATTGATTATAATTTGGTTTAATGTTATACGTTTTATGCAAATTACAAAACTAATATATGCGTCAAATATACCTGCTTTCGTTAAATAATAAATCTCAAAAATTCTAAATCATTCGTACCGAAAATTAGTTGTATTTGTGTATGGTGTTTATAGTGTGAGTGTGTGACAGTACAATAACAATTATTGTTTTGCGGAATTTCAACGAGGAAACAATATTTTACTCATGGAGCCACGGCAAAGGAGGGGAAACAAAAGCAATTAAAACATTAATTAAAAAAGATGGTAATGAATTAGGAGCAGTAGCAGAAGACTTTTGAGGCGAGATTGTCCAGCAAAAGTCAGACCTTTCGTGTCTTCGTTTCAAAATCACTCACTCACTCAGTGTTTTGTCCAATTGTATGTTACAGATTCTTCAGAAAACGAAAGAACTTTCCTTTTCCTGTCTCTCCTCTCCACTGTTTTTCCCCCTTCCGGTTTCGAAAATCCAACCCCAACTACTCCCCTTTGCTTTTAGATTTTCTCTGAAAGTGACTCGCACTTGCTCAAGAGACGTCAAAAAGCCCCGAAATCTGGCGAATTTCCATTTCCGCCGGAAGGAGAAGAAAGGGTTCCTGCTCTTTTTCTGGGTCGTTTGGTGCTCTAATGGCGGCTGTGAACTCCCAAAGGCGTTAGCTTTTGCAAAAGGGTTTTTGCTAAACACGATGAATAATCCTTCGATGGTAAGGTTTTGCTCCCTTTTTATTTTTGGTTTGGTTTTTTGCTCTGATTGCAAGTTTATGTGAGAACCTTGATTTCGAGGTGATTTCGGGACGTGGGCTTTCGCCTTAATTACTTATAATTTCTATTTGACCTCTGTGGTTCGAAGTTAGTTGCTTGATTCATACTGGTTCTTGGGATTCGACTTTTTCAGGCAGAGACTGGTTACTGATCTCGATTCACTTCCACATTGTTGCTTCAAGTTCAAGTTGAAAGTTGAAGTCTTTCTGGACATGTTCATGTGAGTTTCTTCGGCAAGTGATCGCCTTATTTACGAACACAAGTCCATAATCCTAAAAACCCATTATTGGGTTTATCAAAACCTTCGAAGATGGAACCATCGTTGATCTGATTGAGTTGGAGAAAGTCTCCATTTATAATTCAGTCTCGTCATCACCAGTCATGGTGGTCTCCCGTAGCGTTTCGTTTTGGTTTCTCAGATGGTTCCTGTCGGCGTTGTTCTTTGTCGGTTCATCTGTTTCTCTCGGCTCAAAATGTCACCCGAGCGATTTATCCGCCCTCCGGGAATTCGCGGGCAATCTCACGAATGGATCTATTATCGCATCGTGGCCGAAAGATTCGAGTTGTTGTGAATGGGTTGGTGTGTTCTGTGAAGCTGGTTATCCTGCGGATAATGTGTCTGTTTCTGGTAGAGTTACAAAGTTGGTTCTGTCTGAAAAGGATCTTGAAGGGGTTATTTCAGGTTCTTTAGGACAGTTGAGTAGGCTGAGAATTCTTGATCTCTCATATAACGGTCTTCAAGGCAAATTACCGACGGGGCTGTCCAAGTTGAAGGAGCTCGAAGTTCTTGACTTGAGCCACAACTCGTTGTCAGGATCGGTGTCGGGTTTGCTGTCGGGTTTGAGATCGATTCAGTCATTGAACATCTCCAGCAATTCACTGAGTGGTAACCTATCCGACATTGGATTGTTTCCGAGTCTTGTCATGTTGAACATAAGCAACAACTCGTTTGGGGGTCAGATTTATCCGGAACTCTGCAGCTCTTCTGGTGGCGGAGTTAGGGTTCTTGATCTGTCGATGAACCGTCTGGTAGGAAACCTTGGCGGATTGTACAATTGCAGCAAATCTCTTCGGCTTCTGCATGTCAACAGCAACGAGTTGACTGGTCAACTTCCCGATTCTCTCTACACGATGCTTGCCTTGGAGCACATCTCAATCTCTGGAAACTACTTATCGGGACAGTTAAGCCAGAAACTGAGTAAGCTCTCTAGTCTTAAGTCCCTTGTAGTTTCAGAGAATCGGTTGTCGGGTTTGATCCCCGACGTGTTCGGTAATCTCACACGACTCGAGCACTTGGATGCAAATTCCAACATGTTATCGGGCGCATTACCCTCGACCTTATCGCTATGCTCGAAACTGCGGGTGCTTGATCTTAGGAACAACTCTTTATCCGGAAATATCGATATTGATTTCACGGGATTGCCCGATCTTTGTGTTCTTGATCTTGCAAGCAATCATTTAACCGGCTCTCTTCCGGATTCTCTGGGCCATTGCCCTGAATTGAGGATCTTGAGTCTGGCCAAGAATGGATTCAGCGGCAAGATACCCGACAGTTTCACGAATCTGAAGTCTCTGCTGTTCCTGTCCGTATCCAACAACAGTTTCGTGGATCTGTTGGGAGCAATGCATGTACTTCAACGGTGCGGAAACCTAACCACTCTTATCCTCTCAAAGAACTTCATCGGCGAGGAAATACCGAGCGACGTCACTGGTTTTGATAATCTCATGATCCTGGCACTTGGAAACTGCGGTCTTAAGGGTCGGATCCCGAGTTGGCTGTTGAAGTGCAAGAAGCTGGAAGTTCTTGATCTGTCTTGGAATCTGATTCGTGGAACAATCCCTCAATGGATCGGTCAGATGGAGAGATTGTTCTACATAGACTTCTCGAACAACACTTTAACTGGAGAAATCCCGACGAGCATGACAGAACTCAAGAACCTGATACATCTGAACTGCAGCTCTTCTCGTACGTCTACTTCCTCGGGGATTCCTCTCTACGTAAAACGTAACAAAAGTACCAGCGGTCTGCCTTACAACGAAGTCTCCAGGTTTCCGCCATCGATATACTTGAACAACAACCGGCTAAACGGGTCGATACCCTCTGAGATTGGATGGCTGAAAGAGCTCCACATGCTGGATTTGAGCAGGAACAACTTCAGCGGGACAATACCCGGTTCCATCTCCGAGCTCGAGAACTTGGAACTTCTCGATTTGTCCTACAACAATCTCTACGGTTCCATCCCTACATCGTTTCAGAGCCTGACTTTCTTGTCCAAGTTCAGTGTGGCATATAACCATCTCGTCGGTCCGATTCCCTCGGGAGGTCAGTTCTACAGCTTCCCTCTCTCGAGCTTCGAGGGAAACCCGGGTCTATGTCGGGCGATAGACTCTCCCTGCGATGTTCTGATCAACAGCATATTAAAACCGAATGCTTCATCCCATACCGCGAGAAGATTCGGTAAAGGCAGCATTGTCGGACTGACAATAAGTCTAGCCATCGGCATTACTCTGCTTCTCTCCGCCGTTCTTCTCAGGATCTCGAGAAAAGATGTCGGTGACCGCATCAATGGCTACGACGAGGAAATCAGCGGGGTGCCGCCCGGGTTGTCTGAAGCTCTTGGGGGGTGCTCGAAGATCGTGCTTTTCCAGAACTGTGGATGCAAAGATCTCAGCGTTTCTGACTTGTTGAAGTCTACAAACAACTTCAGCCAGGCGAACATAATAGGTTGCGGAGGATTCGGCCTCGTCTACAAAGCTAATCTCCCCGATGGATCAAAAGCAGCAATCAAGAGGCTTTCGGGTGATTGCGGGCAGATGGAACGAGAGTTCCAAGCCGAAGTGGAAGCACTGTCACGGGCACAGCACAAGAACCTCGTATCCCTTCAGGGGTACTGCAAGCACGGACATGACCGTCTACTGATTTATTCGTACATGGAAAACGGAAGCTTGGATTACTGGCTGCACGAATGCATGGACGGGAGCTCGGTCCTGAAATGGGAGACGAGGCTAAAGATAGCTCGAGGGTCGGCTCGCGGGCTTGCCTACCTGCACAAGATCTGCGAGCCCAACATCATCCACAGGGACGTGAAATCGAGCAACATCCTTCTGGACGAGAAGTTCGAAGCCCATCTTGCGGATTTCGGGTTATCGAGGTTGCTCCGGCCGTACGACACGCACGTCACGACCGATCTGGTGGGGACGTTGGGCTACATCCCGCCGGAGTACAGCCAGACGCTGATCGCGACGTGCAGAGGCGACGTATACAGCTTCGGGGTGGTGCTGTTGGAGCTCGTGACGGGTCGGAGGCCGGTCGAGGTTTGCAAAGGGAAGAGCTGCAGGGATTTGATGTCTTGGGTGTTCCAGATGAAGGCGGATAAGCGCGAGGAGGAGATCATCGACTCGTCCGTACGAGGGAACTCGAACGAGAAGGCGGTTCTTGAGATGCTGGAGATTGCGTGCAAATGCTTGGATCATGAACCTAGAAGGAGACCCTCGATCGAGGAAGTCGTTTCTTGGCTCGAAGGTATTCCCATGGAGTCTCGTTCTGTTCAACAATGAAGATGTTTTTTTCCCTTTTTTTTAATTTTTTTTTTTCAAGTGGCTAAGCAATTCAAATGATATGATGGAGAGTGGTGGGAAGAATTTGGGGTATACATGTAAAAGAGCAAGACAACGCTCATTCTCCGACCGAATGTTATGGTCACAGTTTGTAACTGCAGATCATACGAGCTGAAGCTGGCATCCCTTGTTGGTTCTTATTTCTTTACACACAAATATTCGAATATTCTCTAAATCCATTCGGTTATTCTGTTGGCATGACACGTGTCACGCACCCAGATACGCCACTTTTTCCTTCTGTGGAACACAAAACTCGGTCATGGCTCATGAGGACATCGATGGAGTTTATGTACAGAGATAGTTCAAAAGTAAAGGATGATTTCATGTAAAAACCTTGGAATATTCAACTGTCCATACGACGAATCTTTTGTTACACATTAGCAATTTATATAAATAACTATAACATCACCAACCAAAAAAAAAAAAAAAAGAGGCGTGGTTTAAACTTTAAATATCAACCCTATAATAATTCTGAAATCAAAATTTTCTTGGGTTGACTGGTCAAACTTTGGGTTGCAGCCCTAGGGCCGAAACACCTATTAAACCAAGTTGGATCCTGGTAGCTTTGCGTATATTTTAAAGACTTTTTGTTCAGATCTTTTGCAGTCTTTTCAAAACATCACATGACGCAATTATATATATATATGTATATATATAAGTCCATAGAAATGGAACATGAAGTGACTAAAAAGCACAAAATGATCAGAACAAGAAGTAAAACGACTAACAAAGAACATGGCACCTTTATGTAGTGGATGGAGTACAACAAGACAAGATCTAAAAACTAAACAGAAGACCATACTCTTCTTCTTCTTTCTCGTTTTCGCTGTTTCAAATTCTTCCCAAAAGAACCTTCTAAAATTCTTGATATTACCTCAAGGTTTCCATGACATCGGAGAACATCCCGGCGTCGGGGTTCCTGAACTCAAGAGGCTGGTGTTGATCGAACGAGGCCGACGGGGAAGACGTGTCCATTCTCGGAGGCATCGTATAGCTTCTTCTGAACTTTGTCTCCATCTTCGGATGGTGACTGTCACTGTCAAGGCTCGAGAACTCGTTCCGGTTCGGGTTAAGTGTAAGCTCTTTTCCTTCGAGACTCGC